CTAACTTTAGAAAGCTTAGTAGTCAAATTCTTCGAAATCCATATCGTATCTATTTTTGAAAAGGATCTATGTCTTTCAAAAAATTAGGCGTATTCTCTTGAATTGCCATTTTCCTGTCTCCATATGTCCACAAGCCCTAAATTGTCCATCAAATCAAAGAAAACTTATGGTAATTTGCCTTGAGGGATTTTAATATTTTTCTCAGAAGTTCTATCCAGTTGTGGGGAGATCACTCCATTCCAATCCCCCATCAAATACCAATTTTCATAAGAGAAACCTATTAGTCTCTCCAAAAGTCTTTAAAAGAACAGTACTTTATTGTCATTTGGGCCATAAATTCCCAATATCAGAGTCTTAGTCCCATGCAAATTAACTTCCACCCCAACAAATCTACCATGCTCATCAATCAATACAAATTCTGGTTTTAGCTGGGGATTCATATACAAAACCACTCCTTTTTTTTTTTTTTTATTGGTTCCTGCTGAAATAAATTCTTCACCCAATTTTTTATTAATCAAATATTTTATATCCTTTTTTCTAACATGCGCCTCTTGCAGGCAAATTTATCTTGTTTTGATTTTTTCAAATAATGATTTTTTTCTTTTTTGAGGAGCATTTTCTACATTTATATTCCATGTTAAACATTTGTAATCCATAATCAAGTCAAAAATTTAGAAAAGTTGATAGCTTTAGCACCTAGTTCAGTATCATCCCTTTCAGTTTCCTGTTATACCTGCTGAAAATTTTGTGTTGTCTCATCTGACACTTCCATTTGAAAGTCCTCCAATTCCTCTTTAAATTCTTCTAGAAATTCCCTCGCCTTCTGGACAGAATTCAGTCAAAACATCTGCTGTTTGAAAGTTAAAATAACACCTTCCATTTTATCCCATCAAAATGAAATCTTTTTCTGTTTTAATCTATCAGTCAAAAAAGAATATTCTTTTCTCTTATCCAAGATTCTAATAGGAATTCCTTTAAGAGCAATTACATCTGTATTATCAATCTTCAGTCTTATATTAAAATGCTGTTGCAAAATTTGATCTATTGTTTTCTTCCTGACAAAGTACACCAAGACATCCCTTGGAACATTTCTTATTCTTGCAAATCTTGTATTTGTTCTATATACCTTATCACTTTCTGCCTCTGTATCTTCCTTGTCCCAATTCAAAAAAATTGCTAAGACGTTAATAACCTTTTCTCTAATATCTTCACCAGAATCCTCTGGAATTGCTCTAAATCTCAAACAAAATTCCTTCTCTCTCAGTTCCAGTAGTGCCAAATTATCTACCTCTCTTTCCAGCTCTCTGTCCATAACTTCTTACTCTCCAAAATTTCCACTTTGTCATTAATTTATTTTGCATCTCCAGATACTTGTTTTACAGAACTTTCCATCTTCTTGACTTCTTCTTTCATCTTTACAAGTCTTTGATACATTCTTTTTCAAAAGCTGTCAATTTAGTATCAGGTGATTCAGCTAACTTATTGCCCATTTCCTCAAACATTTTCTGAAGTAAATCTAGTAGGATTCCTCTCTCTGCAGGTTGCTCTAGTGATCCTCTCCTCCCCTCTACTATTTTGGCCGCTCATGCGGAGCAGCTATCTGGAGTGCAGGCGGACAATCTCCTGATCTCTCCTTTATCCAGAAACACACCACTGGCCAGAATTCGTTGTCTGGCCACCAGTCTCTGCTGGAATACCATCTCCACTCCTTCAGGGATGTATAGTCCAGCATAGATATAGTTATAACATAGTTATCTGAGGAGCCATCTTGCCCCTGTTATATCAGCCTGCCCCACTTGGTGCTGAAGGGACATGTTGTGGACCCCACCACTCAAGGAATTTCGGATAGTGGGGTCTAGGAAGAAGGTCTTTTCTGCCATGGCCCCCACCCTGTGGAACAAGTTACCACCTGAGGTGTGGTCCACCCCTGTTCTCATGGCCTTCCAGAAGAGTATGAAATTTTGGCTATGTCAAATGGCCTGGGGGCCTGATGGGAGCTTGCATTATTGGAATTGGCTGGTGGGAGAATCAATACTGCTCATCATCTTGAATTATATATAGTCCTTTTATAAAGAATCATTTTTTAGGTAATTTAATATGGATATTTATATTTTTACTGTTTTACTGTTCTGGATTTTAATTGTGAACCGCCCAGAGTCACCCTCTGGGGGAGATGGGCAGCATATAAATTTAATTAATAAATAAATCGATCCTCACCCAGAAGCCCTCTGGTCACTCTCTCCATGCAAGCTATTTTATGAATAGATAAGCACACCCACAGCAGCCATTTTGTGAAGATTCCTTGATATATTTTCAAGGTATATATCCTAGTAGCACATATTCACCAGCCCCAAGAAGCTGGGGATTGTTATCTTATAAAGCTAACTCTACTCCTTGCTATTAGACAGGAAGGAAGGAAGGAAGGAAGGAAGGAAGGAAGGAAGGAAGGAAGGAAGGAAGGAAGGAAGGAAGG